TACAGAACAAAAATCTCTAGAATCATATATAGACTATTCCCCATTATTAACATTTCTAGGAGTTATTTTAGGATTAACTTTCTTGCTAGTCTGATACAAAATATAACATAGTATGCCTGAGTCCTGAATTACCTTCTACAGGTCACAAAACATCATTCCTGCTTTGTGGAAGTGTTATGGGGAGTGTTGACAGAGGGCGGTTCCCCTAGGAGCAATGTTGCTTTCCAAAGGGAAGGAAAGCTGTGATTAGATTATAAAAAGATAAGATCTATGAGTTTTCGTTTTGCCCAGAGCAGACATTTAAGCAACCCTTACTGTAGGTACTTTAAAATGGCCTTCTAATTCATGTGTTCCTGTTTTTTTTTTTTTTTTTTTTTTTTTTTTTTTTTTTTTTTTTTTTTTTTGGTTTTTTTTTTTACACAAAGTTTCAAAGTTTTGCCTAAATGGTATGATCAATAATTAACTTGGTTTAATTCCCTCACTGACTTGCTGGGCTACCCATGCTGGTGTAATTCTCTGAGGCATGAAGAAAGATAACTTTGAGAAACAGCTTTTTAAACTTTCCCTGAACTGGCTAACTTGTCAGCTATTGCTTGCTAACAATGGCAATTGTTGCATAGAAAAGATACAGTTTAAAAAGCATTACATTTCTCCTGTTTTCTTTATTCTTCTCATCTAATGCCCTTTCATTGAAACCTACCTGCCCTTTCTTAAAGTGTGTGTGTGGTGGGATATGAACAGTAAGTTAGCATAAATATCATCATCATCATCATCATCATTATCATTTATTTGTTTTTATACTCTTTTATTCTGTCTGTTTGTGTAATGCATGTGCTGATATGAACTTAAGCATTCCCCTGACTATAGTGCATGGCCAGGGGAGAGATGTGGGATTCTGTTCTCTCATCACGTGGGCTTTGGGTTTTGGGGCTTGAATTAAGATTCTCCCTCAGGCTTGGTAGATAGCACTTTTCCCCATTGGGTAAACACACCAATCCAATAGAAGCTTCCTAATTCTCTCTACTACTGCTACAGCTTTTAACATGTTGCATGTTATAGGGATCCATATACATAATAATTAAAAGATGTAAATTAAATTAAATTAATATTAACACTAACAGCTAATTGAAAACTTTATTTTTTTATATTGAGGTAGCTAGACAGAAAATAGCAAACCAGAGGTACTTAGAATCTTTGAGTTCAAATTAAAGCAACATAACTTAAGTGTGTAATTCTGACCACTTGTAAATGCTATGTTGAGTCATTTGTATGAACTATGGGAAGACACTCAATAATTTAAAAGTCCTTGATACATTTAACTCTGTTTTGGGAATGCTGGAAATTAAACCCAGTTTAGGAGGACCTTGAACATGACACATACATGTTGTATCACTGAGTACTTCCCCAGGATCTTAAGCTCCAGCTCTGTCTTTGAATGTACTCTGCACAGTATTGTGACATGAGATTTTTTCATTTTAATTTGAGACTGAGGTTTACGCATCTTAAACTGGACTTGTTCTTGCCACGTAGCTGAGGCTAGCTTTATGTTACAGACTATCCTTTCTCAACCTCCCACGTGTGGGGCTTACACAGACCACCACATTCTGTGTTGATCTCCTACTTTCTTGTGCTCATTCCCAGATGCATCTCTCAGATGCAACTCTGTATGAAGAGAATCGCTTTAGGACTTAGGAGATTTAAAAATATTTAAGTGTAATCCTACAAATAAATATATTAAAATCCAAATGCAAAATTTTGTTTAGCAAGTCTATCAATGCAAATATGTATTAAGAAAAGGATGTGTTATAGTAAAAGAGCAAAGGAAACATTTTAAAGGAAAATGATGAATATTCCTATTTTAATTATTAAAATATGAACCTCAAGAAAACTGATGAATATCTTTCTAGGAATGAAACAGTGAAATAAATAACTTAACCTTTGTTGCACATTGAAACATGTCACGTAAGTGCTTGTCAATATTATAACCATACATACATGTCTATATTTGTTCCACATCTGCAAATAATCAGTAAAAATAGAAAACACAAAAGAAGAAACTGCAATGATTAGCCACTAAAAGAACTAAACTTACAATTATAAAAGTTACTTTGCACTTAGTGTAATTAAAGAATTTCAAGCTCAAACAGTAATTTTTTTTTCTGTTGTGAGCAAAAGGTGAGTAATGTTATTTCATACTTCCATGCATAAACAATGGACATCACTGTATGCTTCACCTACCAATAGCCAGGACATAGAAAAACATATCTTCAAGCCACGACCTCTGCTTAGAGGGTATCATCAGCTCCCTGGAGGTCAGTTTCAGTGCATGGACGCAAGAAGCTTTACATCCTTAACTAGTAAAAGACTAGTCACGATCTCCTCGATATTTCTGTATGAGGATTCTCACATGCAGAGTTACTTGCCACAGTAAATACTGGATGTGTTCCAAGATTCTAACAATAGGACTTGATGAAATGATATGTAAAGGAATGCAGAACTGCTTTTGAAAATGGTGTCATAAAAATTTATGGCATGGGATAGGCTTATGAAATTCTGCAAGGGGGAAAAAAACTGCTAGAAGAGACAATGTATGCAGTGATTTCATCCTGAAATTGAGTAAATAAGTAAAGTACAAGAAGGAACGTTTCAATGTCGCTAGCTCTCCCCGCCTCGTGATTACAGACAAGAAGGATAAGCTACTAGAGGCTCCTTATTTTCTCACATATAACTTATTGGGTTTTGACAATAAACTCATTTAGTTTTACTCTTCTTAAAAAGTAAACATAGAAGAGTATGTGACTGTAGAATCTTAGAGTAGGATATTTTTTCTCTCTCTGTAATGTCTTACTTTCTAGGACGATACTTTTGTGGCTAATTTGACAATAACCCAGGCTAACCTCATCTTTGTTCTCTTTTTGCCTATATTAAGAAGTTTAATTCAAGCATTGTGGAGAAGACTAAAGTTTTACTTAGTGTCTTTCTTTTTTTAATTTTTTATATTAATTACAGTTTATTCGTTTTGTATCCTGGCTGTAGCCCCTCCCTGATTTCCTTCCTCTTCTCTTCCCTGCCCCTCTCCAAGTCCATTGATAGGGGAGGTCATCCTCCCCTTCCATCTGACCCTAGTTTATCAGGTCTCATCAGGACTGGTTGCATTGTCTTCCTCTTCCTCTGTGACCTGGCAAGGCTGTTCCTGCCTTAGGGGGAGGTGGTCAAAGATCCAGCCACAGAGTTCATGTCAGAGACAGTCTCTGTTCCCCTTACCAGGGAACTCACTTGTAGTGTCTTTCTTTTAAACATCTTTTAAACACTATGAACCCTTCTTCCATCTTTCCCTTCTTTGGATTAAATTAGATGACTGTTCAAGAGAGTGTAATGGTTCCCACCCACTCCACTTTCCATTCCCCTCCTATCAATTAGTTAACTTTTGTTACGGTAAATAATTCACTATTCTACAGTTATAGAGTACCTCTGTGTAAATGAACAGTCTCTTCAAACACTTGTTAATCCTAAACATACTCTTTGGAAGTGGATAAAAATTACTAGAAAGGCAGCAAAGAGAGGGTCATGTCTAGGCAGGAAAAGGAGTCAGTGAAACCACTTTTCCATTGGCCAAAATCTATGCAATGCTATTGAAAATGGAAGTTAGTGTCCAAGTAGAGAAATGTATTGAAAAACTAGCTTTGTGATCTTGTGCATAATTTGTAGTGTTGGGGGAGCACAGAGGATGGGCCTAGACTTCTACATTCAGCTTTGTACATGTGTGTGGTATTGAATGTGGATAAAGTGAGATCAGAGCCGTAGGAACAGGAAGTAGTGCTTTAAGCAAGTAGTTATTATCAACAACTCTAAAACAGAGCACTGTTTGAAAAGGATGTGCTAATAATACAGAAACAACCCCCTGTGCCTGAGTGATTCTACACCTAGACCTCAGTGACAGAAGAGGGAAAAGCTCCCTAAATCGTTAACCTAAGATTAGCGGCAGATGTGCTTACCTGTTAAAAGTGATAACTAGTTCACACATAGTGGGCTTAAGGATGGCACCTCCAGAGGAGTTGGTCCCCCTGTCTTAACTGAACGGGAGGAGCACTGAAGTTACTGTATAACTTAGTGAACAGACTGCAGGCAGACTGCTCTCACAAGGCAAAACCCCACAGACTGACGTTCATTGTTTATCCCCTCCTCCAACCCGTGGGAAGACTGACATTAATTTATTGTAGTAAACCGAAAACATCTTTCTTTCTTTAATTCTTTATCAAAGAGTCGAAATTGATGATTCGCAAAACATGAATTTGTTCACAGTTGTTCTGCTACATTCTTGCTGCTTATTTGAGAAAGGATTTTGGGAAGTGTCATAATCAAATTATTCTAGCCCCACAATTTTAATAAAAAAATTCATATTTTCTCATGCATGGTCATCTGTTCACTGTGGAGATATTGAACAGGGTAAAGACATTCATGGTAGAGGAGAAAGAGGAACATATTCCAGGAGAGAGTAATCGCTTCCTTTTCTGGTAAACAAATGTAGAGCTGTCTTTTATTGCATTTGACACTAATATTTCTGTTAACCTAAATGTGCCCCTAAAGGATACCCATTTCACGCTAACGGAATATAAAAAGAGGTATGACTGCACATTTACTTCATTTTGTTTTGATTATTGTGGTTTGAACACTTAATACAAAAAAAATGACCCTTTGGGTTAGACCTCTGACTGTATTAGAGGAGAGATTTATGTTTTACTTGTATGTTGTGCACATATAAGCTCTGTATTTTTTTTTATTATTTTATTTTATTTTTAACAGTTTGTGAGACTAGAGGCAGGTCCTCACACAGGCTAGCCAGGTGCTCTACCACTAACATGGATTTCCAGCCCTCTTTTCATTTTGAGATAAGGTCTCACTATATATCCCAGGCTAGCTGTCAATTTCTAATCCCACTACTGCCAGCTACCAGTATTAGTATTGAATTTGAGGAGTCAATCTTAAAGATTCATACTTACATTGGCATCTTTCCCAGCTAATTTACATAGTTCCACCCGTTCCTTTGCAGCAGGCCAATAAATCTGTAAAACATACAAAGGTAAATAAGATTAGGCATATTTAAAGCGACTAATTCTGATTAGAACAGAGAGTGAGTGATACCGAAGGCTAGACATTGACCGTGTCCTTGCAGTTCTGACATAAATATTTCCCAAAGCTTCTCTGAAAATGTTCTAACTAAAAACTGGGAAGGGCCATCCATTTTTATTAACTTTCTTGACTTTGATGTGTATAGTAACAAATACATTATCTTCAGAGATCCATATGCTCTTACTGTGATGTCAACGGAACTTCAGTTTCGCACTGGTTGTACTCGTCGAGTTTTTCTGGTTTTCCCCAAGTGGTGGTGCGTGATAGACATGTATGATGAGGTGGTGGAACAGCTCTCTGTCACTCACACAAGCTGCTACTCTAAGCCAAGGATGACAGACCATTTGTTCATTGCAACTAAACACGTATGGAACTTAGACATGCCCGACAGCTTGCCAAATATTTTATACTCATATCTTACTTAAACATCACAATATTCCTAAAAGAAGGTATGTGTCCCCTCTTTCATGTTAGGAAGCTTCATCTGATAGCCACTAAATAAAAGACAAAGGGCACAGAATTAGTTCACAATAATCTGACCCAAACTGTAGGTCACCATATCTGAGAATCTTAGCCATTATGCAGAAAATGTAGTTGGGCCAAAGGGCTGAGCTGAAGGACACCCTCAGCTTTGGCTGGCAGCACTTAATCGTGTTTCAGAAAACATTCATGCTGTTACTGGTTATCTGATTACCCCCCCCCTCTTTTTTTAGAAAACAGAGTTTTGCGCTCTGTCAGGACAGGTTTTCAATTTAGGGTTCAAACCATTATGGTGGTGTGTTGTAATTCACAAGAACAGACATTCACTTGGTTGGGGCGAGAGAAAGCAAACAAGCATGAGCTGTGGGTGTAGAATAGCAGGTGTCCCACTCATGTCCACAGACTTTTATTATGCTTCACACTGATAATTGCGGGAAAATGTTTTAACGGCTGATGAAAAAAAATCCCACCGTATTTGATGGCATTGTAATGAAAGAACATGGTTAAACCTGAAGTATTTGAAGTATTTAGAGGCGGCGTCCGTTCTTGATGGACATATACAATCTAGGTTACTGAAATTTCAAAACAGAGAAAGTCTGTTGTGTTTAGAGAACATCTCTGTATTCTACAGAAGAATGGTGTGTGCAGAACAATGGTGGGCAAAGAGTGTACTCCGGTGATGACTTCTCCTTAACGTACGAGTCCCCACAAGGGTCCAGCAATGCCACTTACTCAGGAATGCTTTAAATTAGGCCCCTCTCCTTTACTATAATTTTAGTTCATAGCTAGCTACCAAATATCAGTGAATGAAAGCCATGAAACAAAATGGGGAAGGAGCTTAGCAATAAATACATCATCATGTGAAGAGTAGCCCCGAGTTATACAATCATGACTTTGTTAGGATAAATCAAAACCAAGTAACATAAAGTAGAAACAGCTTTGTTTTTATCTGGAAAAAAAAAGTTACTTAAGTTGAGCATTCTTCTACATGCTGTAATCTCAGCCCAAGGAGGTCCATGTAAGAGGGTAGTGAGGCTGAGCAGCCTGGGCCACATAAAGCACTGTTTCCAAATATCACTGAAATAAAAGGGTGAGAGAAAGAGAGAGAGAGAGAGAGAGAGAGAGAGAGAGAGAGAGAGAGATCATATTTAGTCAGGAGGACTGGACTACAAAGCTAATTGCTCCATTTCCATGGGAGACAAAAAGTGAGAAGAAAATGTTCAGGAAGAAACCACTAACCCAAGGGAGAATTGAGGAGTGCTCCTGATGAGCTTTCTTAATCTGTCCTTGGAGTGATTGTTTCAAAGCGTAGCTACTGATAGTTTCAAATCTAACGCCTTGCTTTGAAAGTATTGCATAACGTAATTGTTTATCTCTGTTTGGGAATTAAGCACTGATAAAGCAATCGCTTATTTTTGCCTTCTGCAAATGAACACAAATCTCTAAAAGTAAGTTTAATACCCTTATTATGCATTTTTGCCTACTAATTATGAACCATACAATTGTAAATTGAGTTGTTTCATCTTAGTTGGTGAGGAAATAATGCTAATTACACTTGAAAAACTATTTTGACCTGCAGGTATGTGTCATGAAAGCACTGATAATTTGTTGAATCACATAAACCATTTTTTTAAATAAATCCTATAATCTCTGATAGCATAACAGTTTCTGCCCACAACCTTCAAACTCACAATGTTTAAAATTTGATAAAAATAGAAGCTGTCCTTGATTTATTTGCATAATGGCACAAGGATTGTAACACAATGATACAAAGAAGACATGGTTTTTTGTTTTCTTTTTTCTTAAAGTAATAGCTCAGTCTTCAAAATAAGGATCTGTTGAGGTTATGTATTGGTTTGTTTTAGCAAAATGATGTCAGTAACTTTGGATTCACAAACAGAATAGCTTAACAAATACAAATCTATGAGAAATTTGATTGTCTTTCAGATTCTAAATGTTCTTAGAAAAAAATACATTATTTAAAAGATGTACTGTATTTAAAAGATGCCATTTTAACCGTTATTTGGAGTGACTTTTTCTTTCACTCTTCCTGTAGTTATTAGAAACAAATGTTTATATTTTGAAATAGTCTATCTCAAACTGGCATTTAGCAAAAGATAACCTGTAACTCTGATCCTCCTGCTCCTGACTCCCAAGTTCTGGGATTTACAGTTTGTGCCACCAAACCTGCTCCTGGGAGTGGTAATTCGTAAAGAACAGAAATGTCCTTAATCCGATGTGTATAAGACCTGAACGAGACAAAAAGCACTTAAACATATTTTCTACTAGTGCACAACATAGATATAACTATGCTATATAGTGATAGCAAAAATATGCCTAAGTGACCACTTTGTTTCAATATTAGTTGAAGTTACATTCAATGCATATACACACGCATGAGCTAGCACTTTAATATCCCTACTTTCTACTTGAAGTGTGTGTACCTATGTGTGTGTGTGTGTGTGTGTGTGTGTGTGTGTGTGTGTGTGTGCACATGACATGAAACAACGATGGGTTCCAGCCCCAGCACTGCATGAAACCTGGTATGGAAATGTATGCAGATATCCCAGCTGTTATGTTGTGCAGGCAGGAGGATAAACTACATAGGGAATTTGAGCCCAAAGATCTATGAGAGAGAAAACAAAAAACAAAAAACAAAACATAGAATAAGACCATATATGTTTCATACAGTCCCATTTTAACATTTTTATAGCTAAGTTAAAGAGAATCTTAGATTAAATGGTTCAGTCAGCATATATCAAGACATCCTCGTTTAGGAGAGTCATGTTTAAGGACAAAGTAGCACATTGTATATAGAAGTCAGTTCTCTTAAAGTTAGGCAAGTGAATAGCTTTGAAACACTGGCTAACAATAGTTCTTAGAGCAAATTTTCTTAGTAATAAAATCTTTCATGTATTTTCTTGCATTTAGTATCTCACACAGAACCCTACCATACTAAAAGTTACATGAAGGATACACAAAGGACACATATCTGTTTTACAACTAGAAAGTCATTCACAGACATTTTCTCTCACTTAGCAAAGACTCGTGTGAGACACAGTGTTAATCCTTAACATCCCTTTCTGTATTTTGACTGTCCTGGAGTTTTCCCACCGAGAACTAGTGTGACCTGCATTATGCAAAAGCTATTCATAGCTATCCTTTGTGCCAATGGTCATCAGAACTGTGGTTTTCTTTCTGATCACTGATGGCAAATGTATATCAGATTCTTCTACAAGCAAGGCAGATAAAAATCAGAGGTATTTTCTGAGACTAGATGAGTTCAAGAATTTCTGTCAGCTCTGCTTAATTATCTGGGATGTAACCACTGATAGAACTACCACTGAAAAATTAGAATTTAAAGTTGGCGATTCTTACAACATTTGCTTGAAAACAGAATACTGTCAAACAAAATTAAGTACATTTATAAAGAGTCTTGATTTTTGGAAGTTAATGCTTTAAAAGAAGTATAAACCAGTACCCATATTTTGTAATATACTGACTTAACAATCTTAAGTTACACTTACATAATCTTTATATTATTTCATAATTAATCACTTAAAGTACTATTAATGCTATCTAAGAGAGCTCAAACATTTATATGTAAAATATTTGTTTAGCTCTAATTTTCGATTTATATAATATAGATTTCCAACGTGAATAACGGTCATTTTTAATAAACAAAAATTATCTCCAATATCTCCTTATATTCCCTCATAAGCTATAAAAATATGTTTTAAAAGATCTAATAATTTCACTGTGTGAATTTGAAAATATGACTTATGCTCTAGTTTTGTAAATAAGATATGAAAACAATACTTTTTGGGAGTGGGTGTGCTTCTGACACTGTATTCTTGAGACTCTTCCTCCTGTTGAGTTGTCTTGTCCAGCCTTGATATGAGGGCTCTCATATCAAGGTCTTATTGTATCTTGTTTTGTCCTGTCTGGCTGTTTTCTCTGAGAGACCTGCTCCTTTCTGCTGAGAAGGAAAGGGGGTGAGTGCATCTCAGGGACAGGGGAGGTGGGAATGGAGCTAGAAGCAGTAGTGCAAGGGAGGGAAGACTGTGGTTGGGATAGAAAAAGAATAAAAAAAACCTTACAGGATTGTTTTAGCTACTCTGTCTTTCTTTTTTCCATATGAAGTTGAGAATTGTTTTTTCAAAGTCTGTAAAGAACTGTGTTGGCATTTTGATGAGAACCTACACAAAGGAATATTATTCAGCTATTAAAAACAAAGACATCATGAAATTTGCAGGCAAATGGATGTGCCTGGAGAAGATCATCCTGAGGTAACCTAGACACAGGAAGACATGCATGGCCTATACTCACTTATAAGCAGATACTAGCTATATAGTGTAGGATAACCATACTACAATCCACAGACCTAAAAGCTAAGTAACAAGGAGAACCCTAGGGAGGATGCTTAGTTCTCATTCAGAAGGGCCTGAATAGA